CCCCCTTCCCTGAGGTTCGGGTGCGGGTGCAGCCACATGGTCCCAAACCAGAAGCCTCTGCTGGGGCTTTCAGCTTTGGGGGTGGGTGGGGGGTGGGGTTGGGTGGGTCCTGCTGTTGTGGGAGCCCACCGGGCTTTCCCTGGGTCCTACTGCTTCTGGTTCAGGAGCAGTAAAAGTATGAAAGCACTACAAGTATGAAAGCTGACAGACATGCTGCTCCCCAGTCTAACTCAAGACACTTCAGCCTGTGCCGCTTCAGCCTGTGCCGCTTCAGAAAGCGTCATAAGTTAGATTAACCCTACTGATACAACAGACTATCACAGTTATTGTTTCTGTCAGTTTCCTACTGAGGTACTGGGCTGTTTCTGTTCTTTAATATGCTTTAGCATGGGTGGTCCAAATTAGATGACTTTTCACTTGATGATCTTGTTCAGAGCCAGCACTATAGCTGAGAAAAGGAAGGCAGGATATAATTTATCAACATAGAAATGCAAATCTGATGGAATAGAAATGTGGGGGAGAACAAATTTTGCAAAATAGCAACTTCTATACTGATTTTAATTACAGGAAGGAGATTTTTAAGGCTCCAAGGTATTTCCATATATATACTTATTCTTTTGGTTATACAAGTTACATCGCTGTTACTCAATTTAGGAAATATTAAGCTACCTCACTAGATGATCATTTTCTCTTATGTTTCTCTTCTCAAAGGCTCTTGTGTTTCTCTTCCTTATTATAGTGCTTTTTGATTATAATAAGCCTTAAAATTAACTCTTGAAGGATTAACTTCGTATCATTCCTTTACTTGCACATGTTGAAACTTCTCCCCCAGAATGTGTGAAAGAGAACATTATGGGAGTTAATGAAACAATGCTTGAAGTTTTAGGGATGCAGTGATTAATTTCGTTGTCCACTTTCCTATATTAGGATGTTGCTTTTTAAAGCCTTATACACTTCCCAGTACTAGTCGAGTTCATAAAGGCTATGGCCTTTTGGGAAACCCATGCTATCCAACTTCTAAATGCTTTGGGGCTGCATGCCTAGAGGCTTGCTAGTGGGGGCCACACACCATGAAGACACCAGTGCAAGCCTGTCCACCCCGCACCTTTCCCCTTCCTATGTGGTGCCATATGGGTGTCCCAGGTCATGGGTTCCTTTGGCACTATGAGCTATGCCACCCCATTTTAGCCCCTGGAGTAGGAACAGGAAGCAAAAGCCAGAGGAGGGGGGGAAGCCCAGAGCCCCTGGGTGTGTGGTTGCTGCTACTGCTGCCAAAGCAACAGAGAGTGAGCAGTAGCCGGGTGGGAGATTGGAGGCTTCAGATTAATCTTTTGTGGGCTGCACATGGCCCAAAGGCCTCTAGTTGAGCAACCCTGATATAGAGTAATATGTTATTACCAATGCTCATCATTACCTGAGCATCAAGTGGGCTTACAAGAAGACATTTTTACACACTTTCCAGGAAAAGACTCTAGTTTACATATGAGTGCTATCTCCTCAGAAGTTATGAATTTACTGGACTGTTTTAATATTTTCTCACCCTAGCTTTATTAGGCTTTTAAGATGTTAAAACTCAGCTCACTAAAATGTCTTGTAAATTAATTGTGTGAAAACATGCTAGTTAAACACGTTGTCCTGAACAGTTTGTAACACTTGTATCTATTTGTGCTAATTGGTCTTTATGTAGTGAAACAATTTTTAGAGTTCCTGTGCCTGTTAGTCTCAGCCACAGTTTTGTTTATATGCTATATAGTGGTGGTTCATTTCTGTCTTTTTTTTCTTCTTTCTCCCTTGCCTTTTGACCTCCAGGTACACTTGGAGCTAGATATCAGTTCTGTGGCCTTGCAAACTCAACAGGATTTTAATTCACTGAAAATGAGTAATGCCAAGAGATATGAAGTTCTTAAGGAGATTCTGACATTACTTGGCCTGAGTTGTGAATTAAGTGAAGTTCCTTCATTAACTCCTATTTATCTGTTCTCTCATGAGAAGGTGAGTCTTTAACTTGGACTAATGTTATGAATATCTATGGTTTAAGTGGCAAGTTCATTGCTTTTACTTTGCCATATATTGTTGCATGTTTTTTTTTTAAATTTCTGTTAGAAAAGAATAAAATAATTAATTCCTGCTCAGTTATGATTTTTCAGGCACTGAATTAAGTTTTGAGTTTCACAATAGGCAAACTGTGACAATTAAACTCCTTGGAGTCATTAGGTTTTTTGGCTTATTGCTGCTGGAATGTCATAAATCAAGTCAGCAAGACCGGATGAACTTCATCTGAGAGTGCTGAAGTTGCTGGCCAAAGACATTGCGGAACCCCTGGCAAAACTCTTCCACAACTCATGGCGCTCTGGAGAGGTCTCTGAGGACTGGAAGAGGGCCAGTGTTGTGCCCATCCACAAGAAGGAGAGAAGGGAGGACCTGGGTACCTATAGGCCAATTAGCCTAATTTCTGTCTCAGATAAAATCCTGGAAAAGTTCACCAAGGAATCTACCTGTGATAAGCTTGCAGGAGGTAGGATTCTGAATGGCAGCCAGCATGGCTTCATCACAGGCAGGTCTTGCCTTACCAACCTCATCTCCTTTTATGACCACATAACTCGCCACCTGGACAAGAGAGAGGAGGTTGACATTGTATGCCTTGACTTCCAAAAAACCTTTTGATCTGGTATCCCACAATGTCCTCATGAAGAAATTGCAGAATTGTGGGCTTAACTCCAAGACAGTCAGGTGGGTAGGAAACTGGCTGCAGGGTAGGACCAGGAGAGTCCTAATGAACGGATCTGTCTCATCCTGGCGAGGAGTGACCGGCAGTGTCCCACAGGGGTCGGTGCTTGGGCTAGTAATTTTCAACATCTTTATCAATGATTTGGATGTTGGAGGTGAAGAGCTCACTGGCCAAGTTTGTGGACAACACCAAGTTATAGGGGAGTGTGGTTATGCTTGAAGATAGGCTACAGATACAGGCAGACTTAGACAGGCTGGAAGTCGGGCGGATCGGAACCAGATGAAGTTCAGCATCAAAAAATGTAAAGGGTTCCACCTGGGGACGAACAGCCGCCTGCACACCTACAGGCTTGACGGCACCAAACTGACCAGCAGCACGAATGAAAGGGACCTGGGGGTAATAGACCACAGTATGAATATGAGCCAGCAGTGCAATGCTGTAGCCAGTAGGGCAAATAATACTCTGGCATGCATCAATCGATGCATCTCCAGCAAAACCAAGGAAGTGATTCTTCCACTCTACTCAGCACTGGTGAGACCACAGCTGGAGTACTGCATCCAGTTCTGGGCGGCACACCTTAACAAGGATGTGGACAAGCTTGAGAGAGCCCAGAGAAGAGCCACCTGTATAATCAGAGACTTGCATGGCAAGCCATACGAGGAAAAGCTGAGGGACCTGGGACTCTTCAGCCTGAAAAAGAGAAGGCTGAAAGGGGACTTGGTAGCAGCTTTCCGCTACACTAGGGGAGTATATCAAAGGCTTGGTAAACAGCTGTTCACCAGGGCACCCTTGGGGAAAACTAGGAGTAATGGCTGCAAACTCCTGGAAGACCATCTCAGACTGAACATTAGGAAAAACTTCTTTGCAGTTAGGGTGTCCAGACTGTGGAATAAGCTCCATCCAGAGGTGGTGCAATCACCTTCTCTGGAAATCTTCAAGAGGAGACTGGATGGTCACCTTGCTGGGGTCATTTGACCCCAGTTGTCTTTCCTGCTTGGTGCCAGGGTCTGGACCCGATGCTCTTCTGAGGTCTCTTCTAGCTATACAATTTATGAATCTATGAATCAAACCTTTCTTCCAATTATACAGTTGTTCCAATAAAAGACATCACCAAAAACCCTTACCTCTCTTACATTTCCTGGACCATCTCAGCTGTAAGACCACTCTAATCCCACTATCTCTAGTGAGAAAAGGTAGAGTTCCATATGTATGCATAACACAAGTTATAAACTTATCCTAATGTATGCATAGCTGAGTGGGAAGGCAAGTAGTAAAGGACCAGAGTGCATTGAGCAGGTCATTTGAAGAGTATGTTGTCAAAACGCGAAATAATGACTTCATGCTTGACAATTCTTTTAATATTTACATTGGGAATAACTAGGAAACCTGTGAAGGTGCTAGAAGATGACTTGCTTTTACAGTGAACATAGTCTCTCTATCTTCCTGGTGGTGTGTACTGTATTTTCGCGCATATATCCCGCGGGGTATATGCGATTTTACAAAAAAAAAATGGATGGGTGCGGGCTATACGGGGGTGCGGGCTATTGGCAGACTTTTTTTCCATGGGGGCTGGGGCAGGCTGCACCACCTCCCCGCTGGGCCCAGGCAGGCTGGGCTGTGCTGCCGTCGGGGCCAGCTGCGCTGCC